CCCCCCTTTTCCCCACTTTTTGTGAAGCCATGCCCCCTTTTGGTGATTTGGAAGGGGTCACCCTGGGTGAGAGTCAAAACAATGTGTTATCAAAATCAGAGTTGTTTCGAAACAAAAAAACCTCTAAATTCGAAATCGAAACAGCTCTGATCAAAATACAGTCGGTCTTTGTTAAAGATTTTAAAATTTTCCTTCTCAACTTTGACAAAAAATAAAATATATTTAATTAAATTTTGCCAATCAGAAAGCTAAAAATTTATTTTTTTAAATTTTATTTTAAAAAATATTTTTATTCTCTTGCTTATGCTTTACTCCTCAGCCTTTTCCCCTTATCCATATTTGCTTGTATACCCATTTATTTAAAGCAAATCACACAGTAAAATAAAATAAATGAAAAAATTTGAATACAAAATTGGAGAAAATTTAAATGGTTAAATCAAAAAAGTACAAAATAAAAAATTATTCCTTTGATTGTAAGGCTGGCACAGTTGTTTAAATATTATATATTGAGGGAAAATCACGATTTGTCGAAGAATTTGTTGTTGATTTTGTAGATTAAGGTATAGAAAGGTTAGAAAAGGTTGGAAAAATTTGAGATTGAATGAATATAAATACAGTTAAGTTTAGTTAAGTAATAGTAAATCATTTTAATTTCACACATATTAATTCTTAATACACTGCTTCACATAACTATAAGTTCACCCTAAATTTTCGAATTTCTTAACTTGTATCAAATCAAAGCTGATTTTTGTTTTATATTTATTAAAGCGGGTAGCAATTCATAATAACCCGAGATGTCGAAAAAATTTCCATTCAAAAATTTTTTATCCAATTTTTTCAAAAAACACCCTCCCCGTAACTATAAGTTCATTTACTTAAATCACATAAGGAATGCTTGAAAAATTTTACAAAAATTCATGCAAACATTTAAATTGATAATAAGTGAAAAATAAAAAAGAACGAAGTCTTTAAGTGCTTTTTTCATCGAGATCCAAAATCTCGAAAATCAACGGGAAATGGGGGTTACAGTATCTTAAAAATATTTTTACAAGTGTAGACTTTAAATAAAAATTTTTATTATATTCCATCTGAAAGCATACAAAATATAAAACAAAAATCAGCCCGATTGATTTGATAGAACTTAAGAAATTCGAAAATTTAGGGTGAACTTATAGTTATGTGGAGCAATTTATTATAAAATTTTTTAAATATTCATTTAATTAATAAATAATTCCCTTCAAATTCCCTTATACACTTCCAAATCCGCCGATATCACTCTATATCCATCGCAATCCTTTAATATGATTAATAGGCCTTTAATAGGCTTAAAAATAAATAAATTTCCAATTTTTTGGATCCCGATTTCTCGAGCATTATTCGAGATTTTTAAAAGAATAGAAAAAAAAGTTTACCTAAAAAATTATTTTTTAGTGATTTTTAAATTCAAATATGTCTTCAATTAAACTTTTCCTTTTTTCAATTTTTATTTTATTTGAAGTAATTTACACTCAAGGATGTAATAAACATTTGCGTGCCTGTACATAATGATGGAACATGCTGTTCTGGCTTACATTGCAAAATTACTAACGTTACTAAGAATGGTCTTCAACCTTTTTGTTCTATTGCTCCTTGTGTCAAAGGTGGAGACCCATGTCAAAAAGATGATGGATGTTGTTATGGTATGGCAAAGAACATTTTTCTGTTTTAAGGGGAAAACTTGCTCCGGCCCCAAATTACTCACAAAAATATAGGAAAAATCGAGATTAACAAAGTTGACTCTTAAGAGAATCTCAGGGGTAAATATATCAGAGTACATTTTATGAAAATTGTACCTTCTTATAATAAGATTACCTTCAAATATGAGTTTATCAGTTTTTGTACATCTCTAGGGTACAGAATCTTTAATGTCAGTGTCCATACAAATGTGGTGACCATTGATGGAAAACTTCCAAAATTTTTCTGGAACCGGTTTTTAACTTTGGCGGTTCAGGTTTCGGTTCTGGAACCGGTTCCAGACCTTTGCCGGTTCCGCAGTTCCACTTCCGGTTCCAGTTCCGGAACTGGAACCTTTCCATCAATGGTGGTGGCACTATAGTAAAAATGTAAATTATTTTATTTTTTTTTACTTTTCAGGTTCGAGATGTGGTAAATACAACGTTTGCCAACCATGTCAAGATCAACCATGTAAAAAAGACGCTGATTGTTGCGCAAATTATCATTGTGTGAAAAAAGAAACAAATAAAGGTGTTTATATTGAGATAAAAATATATTGTGATAAAATGAATTAAATCTTTTCTTTATTTAAATTAATTTTTAAAATTTTTCCTTTCATTCAAACGGGCAATCTTCTTTCCTTTCTTACTATAAAATTACCTAATACTTTTGTTGGGAATACGTATAAATTTTGATAAATTTTGTATACCCTTTTATTCAAAGCAAATCACACGGTAAAATAAAATAAATGAAAAAAATTTGAATACAAAATTGAAGAAAATTTAAATGGTTAAAGCAAAAAATTACAAAATAAACAATTATCCCTTTATTTGTAAGGCTCAAATATTTTTTTTTCTAAAATTTTTATCGCCCCGAAAAATTATTTGTTGCTGTAAAAGAAGGGGAATATGGGGTGGGGGAGGGGGGGGGGACAAAAAAATTTTTGGCCAAAAAATAAAAATTTAAATTTTACATAAAATGGCCATTTTTAGATACAAAAATAGAAAATAAACCCTCAAAACTTGCCTTTTACATTAAAAATACTCAATTGTTTAAATATTAAATATGGGGGAAACATGGGATTTGTGGAGTGTTTATTGTTTGTTTGATAGATCATGGTACAAAAAAGTAGAAAATGGTAGAGATTAAAGCAATATAAATACAGTTATGTTTAGTTAAGTAATAAATCATTTTATTTTCATCCATTTTAATATTATAAAAATAATTTTACGAGATTTTTTAAATACTCAAAAAATGTCCTCAATTACACTTTTACTTGCTTCAATTTTTATTTTATTTCCATTAATTTACTCTCAACAATGTAACAAAAAGCTACATGAAGATTGTACCGGCAAGTGGGATGTATGTTGTGATGGCCTTCATTGCAAAGCTCTTAACTTTAAATATCAATGTTCTAAAGCTCCTTGTGTCGCAGAAGGAAAAACATGTCAAACAGATGATGGATGTTGTAAAGGTGTGGCACAGAATATATTTTGTTTAAAAAGGAAAACTTTGTCGGCTCCGACTCAGTCACAAAAATAACGGAAAAATAGGGGATTAGATAGCGATTCTTAAAAAGACGCTCGGGGGTTGGTATGTTAGAGTTTCCGAAAAATTTTACTTTATAATTTGGCTACTGTATATCCTTTAATAACTACCTGGGTAATTATTGTTTCGACCTTCGCTGGAGGGAGTAATTAATTGAGGGAGGGTAAGAGGTTTGAAATTTGAACGTGTTTTAGGGCATTTGTTGGGGATTATTTATTGTTTCAATCTATCGTTGGATGGGGTAATTAATGGAAGTTGGGTAATTATTTGAGGGAGGGCAAGAGGGCCATTAATACAGGTTATACGGTAAATAAATTGTTAGGCATTTTTTTGTGGACCCTCTCAAGCAATTAACATCTGACGATATAAGAGTGGCATACACTATAGTGAGATTCAAAATATTTTTTTCGCGTTTTACAGATAATTTTTGCCGTCAAGACGGTAAATGCGGAAAGTGTCTGACTACAGGTATAACAGGGTGTAGTGCGAATAATCCTTGCTGCCGAGGCTTGGTCTGTAATCAAAAAGTAAACTTTTGTGAGGTTAAACAAAGTTAAAAACAGAAGAAGAGGAAGCAATTGAATTAAAAATTGAATATAAAGAACCTTTAAATTAAAGTGATATTTTAAAATTTGTCTTTAGGCTAAAGTATTCAAACGGTCAATCTTCTTTCCTTTCTTACTATAAAATTAAAACACTTTCGTTGGGAATACGTATAAATAAATTTTGACAAATTCTTACCTTTTATTGTCAATGGGTATTATATTTAGACAAGTTGCATGTTAATCGAAATAGCTCGGTTAGCTGAGTCGAATGACAAGAAAATTAGTCTACGAAATTGACTTGGCAGGGATATAGGCTCGAAACAGGGCTGGCCGCAATTGCTTGAGGTTTGGTTCGAATCCATGTGTGGGAAATTAAGAAAATTTTTTTTATTACTTTGATTTTGATTATAGGTTTGCAAAAAAAACTTTAAAATTTATAATTTATTCATGAATTTTCTAAAAATTTTCGCCTGCGGCGCAGAGAATATAAAGGTTTTGGCACAGGATTAAGTGAGATCGTCACATGATATTAAACTCTTAATCTGGAACGATATCGGAGGATTAATAGGATTAAGAGGAATATCAGGTCCACCCAGTTTTTCTGGTTTTTAGGTTCTTTTATTCAATTAACCTAAAAATTAGGGGATTTATAAATATAGGGGATTTATAAACAATATTAAACATAACTAAAAATTTTTAAAAAATGATCACTTAATCGAGAATATTTATAAAATATATTTTATTTGATAATTGATAGATAATTTATTTAAATAATTTTTAAAAGTATATGTATTTGTTTGAATAAAATTATTAAAAAAAAATAAGAAGGAAATAGAAAATAAAAATATATCTCGATAAGACAGCACTCTCAAGACTGAAATTAGTTGACATTTTTATGAAAGAGTGCCATAAATTGGAGGGACACGTTTTTGCATATTAGCAATGGTGGGTCAAAATTCCGATTTTCGGCGTTTTTTCCCTTCCGATTTCCAAAAAAAAATTTTTATTTCCGAGTTCCGACATTTTGAGCCAGTTCCTATTTCCGGCTCTTCCTACTTCCGAAAGCTTAAAAAAATTTTTGACACCACGGACTGTTCCGACCCAACCTCTGTATATTAAAAAGCATATTTTGTTTAAAGAGCCCTGTCATTATAACCCGAAAACCCAATTTTTAATAATTAAAATAATCTTCATTTATTTTTGACAAGTCGAACGTGTTGTGTTTCCTTTCGGTTTACAATCTCCAGAACAGCAACTTTTAACGCTATTATCCCCATCACAATAATCCCCATTATACAAACATTTCATACAGGTAAAATAGGGAACTATACAGGCAGTTCCTTCACAACAATTAATTTTATCCTGACTGCATGTTCCGTTTTCTGGAATACATTTATCTGAAAAATTAAAAATTAACACAATTTTTTTGAAATATAAAGAAAATAGAGCATCTGAGTATCTGAAAGAGCATCTGACATTTATTGCATATTTAGACAGAATTTTTATTTTAGTGCATATTTTAAGCTTTTTCGGGCATAGAGGCTCAAATGATTACGCTGGGTAATTATTGCTTCAATCTTCCCTCGAGAAGGTATCTAATAGAGAGGGGTGATTAACGGAGGAGGTAATTATTCAATTTCTGTATTGTAGGAGCTCATTTTTATGTAGGAGCTCATTTTTCAATTTCTGTATTCGTTATTAATCCAGGGAAATGCCTCTAATATATCATCCCTCGAATTTAATGACATATGAAGGTGAATGACATCGAAGGTAAGAGTGGTTTAATTGTACAGTAAAGCACAATGATTTCTGTTTAAAATTACAGCACTAGATAATTTTCAAATTACCTTTCCCACACAAATTTCGTAGACCAACATAAACATTTCCACTTTCATATTTTGGCAAACTTTGGCATGTTAAATTGCCACAACATCCCTTGGTACATTGTCTCTTATCACAACAATCCTTCCCTTCCTTTATACATTTTTGGCTATTTAGGTATTGAATAAATAGTATTATTGAAAAAATGGATATAATTAAAGTAGTTGTTGAATAATTCATTTTTTATTGAAAAATTTCTCTGAAAAAATTCGTAAATTTTCTAAAATTAAGTATATTTTTCCAATTTAATTAGCCAATGAAAAAGAATTATAGTCAGAACTCGATTTTAAATGCCACTCGGAAAATTTCGAGTGGTTCAAGTACTTAACGTAGGGCCATCAAATTAATAAGTCCCTCATCAGAATAAGAAATTCTGAGTACATACACAGTCGATACGTAATGGCTCATTTACAAACTACTCTCCTTTTGATCAAAAGGAGGATGACTTCTTATAACAATGAAGTGGTGCACAAAGTAATGGATCATTTTACATTTTATTCCTGATAATTTGATGGGAACTCTTAAATTAAGTATATAATACTCCAATTTCATTATCTATTTTGAATTGTGGATTAGACAGTTATCTCGCCCACTGGCAACCGAATTTTACCAAACGTATCTAATACGTTTGGTTCGACTGTACGATTACTTCAGCCTGAGGGGGGGGGGGGGTATTCTACAATAAAGTTTGGAAAAATTTATTAAATTGGAAATAATTATTTCTGAATAAAAAGCAAATTAAAATACTAAAAACGCTTAAAATAAATTTTAAAGTCAATATTTTAAATTTTAATTCCTTTCTAAAAGGATTTTTTAAATTTAATTCATGTTTGTCCATCTGCATATTTTAAATAAAATTTTAAAAAAGAATTTTTTTATTATTCGATTTTTAGCCGTATTGACGTTAATTCACTAAATTAAATGTTTAATATACCGAACTTTTGTTAATATACCGAACTTTTGTACATCAGATTTAATACCCGCAAACTACCGTAAATATTCTAATAGAACCCTACTCTCCGAAAGAAGCACTCTCCAATATAACCACACCCTATGAGATGTTCAAAAAATAAAAGCACACTCTCTAGTAGAAGCACACTCCCTGATATAAGCACACTACGAGGTGATTAAAAAATAGAGGTGATTAAAAAATTTATTAGAAGATTTACGGTAAGCTATCCTTCGTTCCTAAATATACTTTCTGCAGCAGCGAGGACAAAAAATTAGTTAGACTTTAATAATTTCACTTAGATATCGTGATTGATATATTTCGAGATCTCGATTTTGTACGACTTTCTCAGCCCGATCACAGGTAATCAGAAGATATAGACACACAGGCTACTTACTACTTTCATTATTAAAAAATAGGCAAAATCACAAGAAGATCAAGATCTTCTCTAACTTAAATGACCAGAAAATGGCTAGAATAAATAGTAAATTAAATTATGAGTAAAGAGCTCTGTGGCTTAGTTGGTAGTTTTTCAATTTTTTATAATCTAACTTAAACAATAAAATAAAGACACTATTTCCGTTGATTTTATTTTTTTAAAAATTAATTTATCTGCATTTTACTGATTTAATTAAAATTATTTAGCTAAACTCCTTCTATACATACTTTAGATACAAGATTTTTTATTTTGAAGCAGAAAAATATAAAAATTATTTTTTGTTAAGAAATCTTAAATGTTGTAGTTTTAAATTGTTTTTAATTTGTTGTTGCACAACGTAATAGAACAGAATTTGTGAAAATAAACCAAAATTGGTTTTTTAATAGGTGAAACAGAACCACAATAAAAGATAAAAATTCATCGAAATTTATTTATACGTATTCCGAACAAAAGTATTTTTATTTTATAGTAAGAAAGGAAAGAAGATTGCCCGTTTGAATAAAAGGAAAAATTTAGAAATTAATTTAAATAAAGAAAAGATTTAATGCTTTTTATCACAATATACAGAAGCACCAATGAAAGCACCTTTCTTTGTTTCTTTTTTCACACAATGATAATTTGCGCAACAATCAGCGTCTGTTTTACATGATCGACCTTGACATGGTTGGCATGTGTTATAAAATTTATCACATCTCCAACCTGAAAAGTAAAAAAAAAATAAAATAATTTACATTTTGACTATAGTGTCACCATCATTGATGGAAAGGTTCCAGTTCCGGAACTGGAACCGGAAGTAGAACTGTGGAACCGGCAAAGGTCTGGAACCGGTTTTAGAACCGGAACCTGAACCGCCAAAGTTAAAAAACAGTTCCAGAGAAATTTTGGAAGAGTTCCATCACTGGTCACCACATTTGTATGGACACTGACATTAAAGATTCTGTACCCTAGAGATGTACATTAACTCATATTTAAGGGCAACCTTATTATAAGAAGGTACAATTTTCATAAAATGCGCTCTGATATATTTTCCGATTTTTCCTATATTTTTGTGTGTAATTTGGGGCCGGAGCAAGTTTTCCCCTTAAAACAGAAGAATATTCTTTGCCATACCATAACAACATCCATCATCTTTTTGACACTTTCCATTATCACCGACACAAGGAGCAATAGAACAAAAATTTTGAAGACCATTCTTAGTAACGTTAGTATTTTTGCAATGTAAGCCAGAACAGCATGTTCCATCATTACAGGCACGCAAATGTTGATTACATCCTTGAGAGTAAATTACTTCAAATAAAATAAAAATTGAAAAAAGGAAAAGGTTAATTGAAGACATTTTTAGAATTTAAAAATCACTGAAAAATAATTTTTTAGGTAAACTTGATTTCTTTTAAAAATTATGAATATTTCTAGAGAAAATAAAGGAAAAATGTAAAAAGCTGACTATTTTTTTTATTAATTAAATAAATATTTTTAAAAATATTTTTATAATATTAAGAATTAAATTATGTAAAATTAAAATGATTTATTACTTAATTAAACATATCTGTATTTATATTCCTTTAATCTCACATTTTTTAACCTTTTCTAACCTTTCTATACCTTAATCTACCAAATCAACAACAAATTCTTTCACAAATCCCTCAATATTTAATATTTAAACAACTGTGCCAACCTTACAAATAAAGAGATAATTTTAAATTTTGTACTTTTTTGATTTAACCATTCCATTTTTCTCCAATTTTGTATTCAACTTTTTTAAGGTAAATTGCAGGTTTCAAGGGTTTATTTTCTATTTTTGTATTTAAAAAAGGAAATTTTAAGTAAAATTTAAATTTTTATACATTTTAAAAATATTTATTAACTATTTTGTAATCTAATATTTTTTTCTATACTTTTCGTTTATCTCCCCCCCCCCATATCCCGTTTCTTCTACAGCAACAAATTATTTTTCTAGTCGATAAAAATTTTAGAAATGTTTGCGCCACCCTTACAAATAAAAAGATAATTTTAAATTTTGTACTTTTTTGATTTAACCATTCCATTTTTCTCCAATTTTGTATTCAATTTTTTCATTTATTTTATTTTAACGTGTGATTTGCTTTAAATGAGTATACAAACAAATATGGATAAGGGGAAATGGATGAGGAGTAAATCATAGTCAAAAGAGATCAAAAAGTATTTTTTAATAAAATTTAAAAAAAAATAAAATTTTTAGCTTTCTGATTGGCAAAATTCAATAAAATATATTTTATATTTTGTTAAAGTTGAGAAGGAAAAATTTAATTTAAAATCCTTAAAAAACCGACTTAATTTGATAAGAGCTGTTTTTCCCCTCTAAAATACCCCCCTCCCCTCCTCTAAAATAGCCCCCCCCCCCCCATAAAATATTTAATTATTTTTTGGAATTGTTATTTATCAAAGCACATCACTGTTTAATCCCTATATTTCAATAAAATTAGAAATGATTATGGGAATATCGGAAATTTGGAGGGATATAAGGAGATTCTTATGAATTAAGGGATAGCGGTGGATGTCTATCTCCAGCGATGGATGTCTGTCTCCACTAATATCCATGCATTTGATCTCTCGATGAAGGATGAGAGGCATGTCACACTGACTTTAATACTTCAGAATGCCAAGATGGGCATCTTAATCCAATCCCTTTTAATATTATCAAACTTTAGGGACTTAACTAAAGTATACGAGGGATAATAATTTAAAATAAATTCTTAATTAGGTATCTCGAACCTTAATCAAGGTCTATGATGAATTTATCGACTGTGAGTACCTGATGGAAATTTTAGAGCTAGGATTCTTGTTAAAGATTTTTAGTTTGTGTGAATTCTATTAAATTTTAGAAAAATATTAATCAAAATTTGGTAAAAAATTTTTAATTTTCAAAAAATTTAGGCATCGAAAATAATAACCCCCCCCCCCTCTCTCTAAAATAGCCCCCCCCCTCTAAAATAGCCCCCACTCTAAAATAGACCCCCTTTAGAGGTCGATCGAAAATAATAACCTCCGGGGCTATTTTAGAGAAAATACGGTATTTAAATATTAATTTCCCTAAATCAACCACAAACCACCTAAATTAGCACGAAAACTTAGCTTGAATTTGTGAAAATAAAGCAGAATTTCTCACTTAATAAGTGAAACAGAACCACAATAAAAAGTGAGAAATTTAAAAAATTAAAAAAAATAGTCGAAATTTATACGTATTTCCAAAAAAAGTATTAGGTAATTTTATAGTAAGAAAGGAAAGAAGATTGCATGAAAGGAAAAATTTTAAAAAATTAATTTAGATAAAGAAAAGATTTAATGCTTGTTATCACAATATCTTAAACCGCGCTCATCCTTACAAACAAATTTTCCACAACAATCAGCATCTTTACTACAAGATGAAACTTGACATGTTGAGCATTTGTTAAAAACACATTTTGAACCTGAAAAGTCGAAAAATAAAATAATTACAGTTTGACTATAATGCCACCACCATTGATGGAAATGTTCCATTTCCGGTTCTGAAGCCGGGCGGTTCCGAAATTCCGGAAGTGGAACTGTAAAACCGGCAAAGGTCGGGAACCGTTTCTAAAACCAAAACCTGAACCGCCAAAGTTAAAAACCGGTTCCAGAGAAATTTTGGAAGATTTTCATCACTGTCATCACTAGATTTGTATGGACACTGACATTAAAGATTTTGTACACTAGAAGTGTACAAAAACTGATTAGCTCTTATTTAAGGTAACTTCATTATAAGTAGAAAACGGATTTTTATTGAAATATATTTTTT